GTGCTAGACACAGTTTTAGACCCAGATGGTAGATACATTAAAATTATCTATACTTAATCAAAAACTTTGTATTGTTAGCGAACACAGTCCAAATGTTGATGACACCCCTTTTTTTCATGGTTTTGGAAACGATTTCATTAATTGGTTAAAAATATTGTATAACTGACCAACAGCATGTGTCAGGACAAATAACCAAACATCAATAGGTTTTGTTTACAGAGAGGCACCAGGCAGGGATGTCCGCTGTCCTCCTCACTGTTTGATATTTTTATTGAACCTTTAACGGCCGCGATCAGGCAAACTGCAGATATTAAAGGCATACAATGTAAGAACATTGAACATAAAATTAGTCTGTATGCAGATGATGTTTTACTTTTTCTTCAGCATTCAGAAAACACACTATCCAAGGTTATTGAATTAATAAACTCTTTTTCAAAAGTCTCTGACTACTCTATAAACTGGTTAAAATCTACAGTTCTTCCAATTAACTGTGTTTTTAACAATTCTCTCAATACACAGCTACAGTCAGGTAATATTATATATTTGGGTATTAATATTTCTCCTAGAGTGGAAGACTTAAATTAAATCACATCCCGCTTTAAAAAATAGAAGATGATCTTACAGATGGATATCTTTACCCATATCACTTATAGGAAGAACTGCTTCAGTTAAAATGGTGGTATTACCCAGAATAAACCATTTATTCTCAATGATACCAAATAAACCTTCACCTGTCTGGTTTAAATCCCTGGACTCTTTCATCTCTAAATTCATTTGTAAAAATAAAACTCCACGTATTAATCTAAAAACACTACAGAAAACTAAAGATACAGGAGGACTGGAGCTTCCCAACTTTCACCAATACTTTTTAGCCAACCGGCTACAACACATCTTAAAGTGGTTAAATCCTAATCCGTCAGATGAWTCTTGGCTAGATATAGAACAAACTTTATGCCATGACATTAAGATTTCAGATCTTCTGTTTATTAGCACTAACATAAAAAAAACATGAGTGCTTTAAAAGCATTAATATCAGCTCATCTCTGGCAGCATGGTGGGAGTTTCTGAAAATGACAAAGTCTTCACTGATCCCATGTAGACAAACACCCATCTGGAACAATCCTGACTGACATCCTACAACAGAATAATATGTTAAACTTTACAGGTTGGAAGTAAAGGAACTGATCATCTGGAACATATAAATTCCATATAAAAGTCACTGATGATGGAGAAATGAAGAAACTAACAMTCAGTTCTGTTTTCTYCTGYAGTGGCTAAAAAAGACAAACAAATGGAAGAAAATAAAAAAGCCCATGAGTCTGTGCAGAAACCATTATTTACTTTCAACAAGAAGTCTGTCCTGAAACTTTACTGTCAATGATTGCTGTTAGAACACAGACTAATATCTGGAGATGTTTWTATTTCTTTAAAACAATGAGCTGTGCCCTCAGGTTCTACTGACTGAACTAATAAAAAAGTGTTTTCTTTAAAAAAATCCTCTGATTTTGAAAAGTTTATCAGTTTCTGTTGGTTTCACTTTGGGTGATAATGACCCTGAAACTGTCAACAGAGACTGCAGGTATGTGAGGGTGGAGTCTAATTCTGCAGGAATGTCAGCAGGTTCTGCAACATTCCTGCCTGCAGCCAACCTGTGAGTCTGCAAACACCTGACACATTGTCCATGTGTCACACACCTGCTGCCAAACACAAACTGGACCAGTTTCTGATCCCAGGACAGTTCTGGTTTCTGATCCCAGGACAGTTCTGGTTTCTGATCCCNGTTTCTGATCCCAGGACAGTTCTGGTTTCTGATCCCAGGACAGTTCTGGTTTCTGATCCCAGGACAGTTCTGGTTTCTGGTCCCTGTACAGTTGTGGTTTCTGGTCACTGTACAGTTGTGGACCAGTTCCTGGTCATTGACTTTTACAGTCTGATGGGATTTGAAAGTCTGACATCAGCTGATTAGTTTTWATTCACGATGCAGAAACTGATCCAACACGTTGACACAGGTGTTGGTTTGGATCCTTCAGAGTGAAGACCTGAGAACCAGGAACACCTCATGGTTTCCTCTGGTTTGTTGGTCTTCATGAGGACAAACACATGTTGTTACTAATAAACTGTGTGTTTCTGTGTGTGTCAGTCAGTTGTACAGTGCTGAATGAATCCAGTGTGTTGCTGAGGGTCTCAGTGTTTAACAGTGATGGTGGTCCTCCTGCAGCTGCAGCACTGATGGAGCTGAAGGTGTGGGTGGACGGTGCAGTCAGGGAGGTGTGTGGCCTTTCTCTGGACACTTCCTGTCAGGATGTGGTCATCGCTCTGGCCCAGGCCATCGGTACGTTTCTCTTCCTTTTCATCATGAACTAAGAGCTGAGTCAGGGAGAGCCTTGGACWAAATCAGGTCTGATATCAAATACTAATACTGTTAAAGTACACAAAACTGTGTTTTTACTTTACTGTAAACTTTGAACATCTGATCATTTTTCTGTCTAATCAGGAGATTTTTTTAAAAGTAGTTTATTTAWACGCTGTCTTGAGGGCAGCATGGTGGAGAAGGTTGCTGGATTGAATCCCAGCCTGCAGTCTTTCTACGAGGAGTCTACATGTTCTCTCCATGCATGTGTGGGTTTTCTCCATCCAGGTGTTCTGTTTCCTCCCACAGACTAAAGTCTAAAGTTCTGATGTTTCTGAGCAGAGGAAGGGTTGAACTGTTCAGATGTTCCTGTTGGACAGTAAAGGTTTCGTCTCACCTGCAGGTCAGACGGGTCGTTATGTTCTCATCWTGAAGCTCAAAGGAACTGAGAGGAACCTGGGAGCTGAAGAGTGTCCTCTGCAGCAGCTGCTGAAGCTGGGTCAGCTCGCTGCACAGGTCCAGTTTGTTCTGCGGAGAAAGGGGCCCAGTCTCAGTGAGGGTCCACACAGACACCTGGCCCCCCAGAGACTGTCAGAACAGAACCCGGTCAAACACAGAGGTCTCAGTTCAGACCCTTCAACGCTCCCCAGGAGGACTAAACCAAAGAAGACCTTGTCTTCGTCTCTTGTGGAACTAACAGAGACTTCTGTCCCTCCCCCAAAGACCCCCAGCACAGTGGACCTCTGTCTCCAGGACTCGGTTAAAGAGGAACCCTTCAGGGAGGTCCTGCAGCAGCAGATCCTGCTCCAGGACCTGGAGGCTCAGATTGAAGCTCTTGAGAAGGAGACAGAGTTGTGGGAGCAGAGGGTAACATCTGCTGCAGTCCCTGATCCTGGTCCAGGTCTGACCCAGGAACTGGAGGAGCTCCAGTATCAGCTGAAGCAGAACGAGGTGGAGCTGCTGTACGGAGAAGACTGGGTGAAGGAGCTGAGGGATGAACTGAAACGAGAACAAGGTACACCTTCAGATCTGTAGATGTTTGTTATTCTCCCACAGTTCTGCAACAGTTTGTCTTCCTCAGACATGAAGACACGACTGGACCAGATCCACTCGTCCATACAGGACCAGAACCATGAGCTCAGGGTGCTCCAGGACCAGTCTGAACATCTGGAGCAGGATCTCCAAGCCCAGGCTCAGACAGGGGGACAGAGTCCTGAGGTGGAGGCTCAGCAGACAGGAGAAGCTCTGCTCACCCTGACTGAGGAGCTGCACAGCCGCTTGCGGCTCTCAGAACAGCTGGATGCAGATTTCTCAGAGACTCTGTGGGAGCTGCAGACGGCAGAGGAAACAGTAAAGGTATCACACTTCTTCTCACCTTCTGACTACATGAAATAAAGTTTGTGACTCATGTCTGTTAGAGCAGCTGTCGTCCAATCAGAGGGTGAGGGTTTGATTCCCCCTCTGTTCAGTCARGTGTTGAAGTGTCCTTGGGCAAGACACTGAACCCCCACTGCCTCTGATTGTCCTATCAGTGTCTGTATCTGTGTGTACAGGTTGTGTTGTAAAACAATTTGTGTATCCTGGTCAGACAGAAACAGGTCTACSCTGGGCTCAGTGTGAGACCACCTGATCCAGACCTCAGGACTGCAGGTGAGCTCTGACRACCTGTGACCTGACAGCTGCACCTGGTCCTTCTTCTTCTTCACAACAGGCTCTGATTACAGCAGAAGGTTCTGATCTGTCAATCACTGCTCCACTTCATCCTATCAGAGCAGGTGGGTTTGGTTCCAGCTGTGAGCGGACCCCCTGCAGTCTGAAGACCCTGAAGAACCACAGACAATCAAATATAATCCAGCAGCATCCTGAAGACAAGACAAACTCACAAAGAGGAGGAGGAGCGACAGGACTGACCTGCAACCAGAGCCTGGTTTWAAACCTGACAAACTGATTGGGTAGTGAAACTCCGCCCACCTGCACCACCTGCACCAGTAAAATGTGGCTGCTGGCCACACCTGGTTGCATGTTGAGACAGGAGCAGTGATTGGTGGAAACATTCAGCTGTTTCCTGGTTGTGTGGAGTGAAGATGACAGCYGGACACTAAGTGTAACTAAATGTGCCTGTGATGATCATGTCTCAGCAGCTGAACCTGTGGACGGGCAGACTAACCCTTGTGGTAACTGGCAGTGTGTTTGGTGTCCTGCAGGACAGGCTGGAGACCATGGAGGAGCTGAAGAAAGAGCTGAGACAGTGTGACCTGCAGCACTTCATCCAGCAGACCGCAGTCCCTCAGCGCTCCAGGCACAACTCCCTGCCTGCTCATCAGGCTCCGCTCAGAAAGTCCCGCATCAGGAAGTAATCACACCAGGAAGTAATCACACCAGGAAGTAGACCCAGCCACATCAGCAGGTTAGTTTCAATCGTTTCCTGCTGTTTTGACCATCTCTGTATGATTTACAAAAACATCCAACATTTCCTGTGTTTTCTCCAGCCTGAACATGTTAAACCTGCATGATGTCACATGTTGATGAATGATCAATCTCACAGGTAATCTGTCTCTTTCAGCTGCCAGCCTGTCCAAACACTTCTGTTGGTTGGAAAATCAACTTCTCACCATCATCTCTGGAGAAAAGATCTGATTTTATTTTGTTATAAATATTTTATACTTGTCACTTTGTTATTAGATGAACTGTAATGGAGTTATTTTTGTATGTAAAAAATAAAGTTTTTTTTAATTCCACTGGACTAAGGCTCAGTTTTGTCCCCTGGAAGGCGCTGCAGCTTCACAACACAAATCTTTAACTCAGATCAGAATCATTTTTATTCAAAACTTKGAGTCTATATACATGAAAACAGATTTAAACACATCTAGATCTTCACCAAACTACAATGGTATTATATTATTATGATGGTATTTTTATTTTAACTACCTGAATCACCTGCATATCATCTGAGAGCTTCAGACTAAGATCAGAATCAGAAGTGTTTTATTGTCATTTACACACAACCTCAGATGCAGTGCAGAACGAWCTGCAGTTRAGAACATCTGTCTGGAGAAACACACACACGACAAACATGGGAGAACAAATGTCCAGGGTCCTTCACAACTTAGTGKGCTGCCTTTGCAGTTTAGAATACACACACATAGGAAGGATGAGTTAAAAAAAGAGCTTTGATCCTGTGTTTTCTACAGAAAACACACAAACATACGCTCAAAAAAACTACTCTGTAAAATCATCATCTCATCATGAGAATAAGTCAATAAAAACATTAAATACGTATATTTGTTCACTGCTTTATACTATAAACTAATTCTCCATTTAAATTAAACAAGTTTTAATATTTTATTATAAATTGCCAAATTTTCTCCTTTCCTGTTGAAATACGAGGAGATGAGGCCTGAGGCAGCAACACGTTCTGCCTCCACTAAAGACCACTGCTGTGTTTTAAACTACCCTGCACAGGAAGTAACAGGAATCCTTCTCCAGTTCCACCTTCCAGTCCAGCAGTGGTGGTGAAGCGCTAAAATGACTGCCAACTACCAGTTAAACCAGGAAACCAATAAAATCWGCCTTTTTTAACCTGTGGCAACATCTGGACTCAGATTAAATATGTGAGCGGTGCACGGATTTAGAGGTAAAAGTAGAACARAACTTTGTTTTAATGAAAGGTGRGTCAGGTGAGCTGCAGTTTGTGTGAAGGATATAAAGATATGATCTGAATGTTCATATATCTGTAAATGTCTGAGCAGCTGGGAGCCTCACCACACATGTTCAGGATCAGTATCAGCTACTACCACCTCGAGTTCAGCTCAGTTTCTGTCACTGACCAAGTTTTTACATCTGTCGATTATTAAAAAGAGCAGATTTTACAAACATGTCTGATGCAACCAGTTCATGCTCACAGCTCGTGTTGAGAGTGACCCTCAGCTACTACCACAGCAGATATTTACAACCATGAGTCATACTTTAAGCTTTGTGTCATTCTTTTTATTTAGCTGCCCACGTCTGACCCACCTGGGCCCATTATGTACCCACCTGGGCCCATTATGTACCCACCTGGGCCCATCATGTACCCACCTGGGCCCATCATGTACCCACCTGGGCCCATCATGTACCCACCTGGGCCCATCATGTACCCACCTGGGCCCATCATGTACCCACCTGGGCCCATTGTGTACCCACCTGGGCAGCTGACCTGTGCTTCAGATTGATTTTAGCACACATAAAGAAATCTGTTGTAAATCTTTTTTTTATTTTCTAATGTTTCCTGTCAGAGCTGAGCTCTGCTGCAGGAACACACACTGCTCCTGACAGAGTCCTGGGATTAAACCCACAGTGGTTTGAGACTCTCAGGACGACTCTGTCTAATCTCAGAGAAATTATTTGTAGTTGTTTAAAATTCAAGCCATAAAGACTCAGACTGAGACTGAAGCAGGAAAGTAAAACCTCTGAGAAGATCTCTGCTCATCAACTACAGGCTTTAAAGTCTGCAGATGTTTTCAGTTGTCTCTGTCTTCAGACATAATCTGTCCTCACATTTCTGTCTCAGATTAGATTATGTAAGAGCCTTTTATCCTCAGAACAAACAGAGCTGCACCTGTGGAAGAAAAGCTTCACTCAGGAGCTTCAAAACAACCAATCAATGGAGAACAGCAAAGAACAACTTTCATTTTTCAGACCTAATGTGTAAAAACTGATCATTAAAATAAACTGAAGGAGGATCCTTCAGTCTCCACTTAGTGAGGATTATTTTTAATCCACAGGTCCAGATCTGTCAGTCAGGAGGAGTTTAATCCACAGGTTCAGATCTGTCAGTCAGGAGGAGTTTAATCCACTCAGCTGATTGTCCTCCAGCTCAGTTTTATGTGCTACAATTTATTTGAAGTGTCAAATAAATAATATTTATTATTATATAATTTAATTATTTAATATATAATATTTTATCTTAAAATCCTTAGTTTCCAATAAGTGAATGTTTCAGTTTATAAAGTTTGGACGCAGTAAATAGATGTGCATTCTTCTGGTAAAGAACTTTAAACCAGACTTTATTTTTCCTTTGTTCAGATCCAGATTATTTAATAATCTGGGTCTCATAGGTCATTTTCTGATAATCCTTCTCGGTCTGATAAAATCCTTTAAGTCTCAGCCACTACCACTCACCTCTGGAGTCCCTCAGGGCTCTGTTGTGGGGTCCATGCATCTCTCTGTWACATTAACATGCTTTGCTGTGTGAATGACCTCAGATGAACATTTCCAAAAAAKCTTATCTGCAGAAATAAAATCTAATCCTAGTTCTCCTCCAACGTTGTCAGAGTCATCAGTGATAAACCTGAAGCTCTTCTCATTAACATGAAAACACTTTCAACTCTTCTGTTTTCATTCGTTGACATTTTAGACGTTATTTCAGAATGTTACGTCACGTTTAACTTTCCATCTTATTACTTTCCAACATTTCTGTAATGTTTGTCATCTTTTCACCTTTAATACATCAAATTATAAACATTTTGTCTTTTCTCCCTCAGTTTGTCTCACAGGCTTCAGCTGTTTGTGAAAATCTCACAGAAGTCAGGGAGTGACAGACAGTTATTCTCTTTAACTCTAATGATTTTCTTTATTTGAATAGCTCTGTGCCACAGAAAGATAAAATCTCACAGATTATTTTATTAGTGCTCAGATTATAAATGCATCAACAGTCCATCACTCAGCCMTTCTCAGCTCCTTCCTTTCTGTAAATAATGAGGATTATCTAAAGGCCACGGCTCTAAATCCTCCTCAGCCCTGAGACCTGGGTCCAGTCCGGTCTATAAAACCAGCTGCTGAGACCATCCAGAACCATCAGACTCTGCAAGAAGAAAGAAGACTCCTTCTTTGTCTTGCAGCTGCTTTTTCATTTCTTCTGCYAAGGAYCAGAAACCTGACTTCTGTCAGCAAACAAGTGAGTGTTTTATTAGAATTAGCTTTAACAGCTCAGCTTCTGTAACTTTACTGTTCTGCATCAGTTTTTTAGTTCAGTTCATGTCTCTGGTCCACAAGGAGCTGCTGTTCCTTCAGAAATATAAACTGTAAAAAATTAGTTGTTTTTTATTCAGTTTAAGTTCAAAGAGGGACAAAAATCTGAAATTTATACGTTGTTAAGTTTATACGTTGGTTTATCTTTAAACAGCCAAGGATTTAAATTTATTTCACCTTGACAGAAAGAAAAGCACAGTTACATGTCAACATGGCATCATGTATCATATGCATTCAGGATGAAAGGTAAAACACTGAGTTTTCTTGTTTTCCATGAAGTGGAGAACATGAATGGACCAGCGGGACCAGAAGAGTCCAAACCCTCTCCAGCTGGGTTCAGGCAGCAGGAGAACAGACAGTTTAAGAGCAAAGCTCCCAAACCTGGACAGAAAGGGTGAGCAGAGACAGTTTTCACTGCAGCACATCAGATATCTGTCAGCTGAGAACCAAAGAGGAAACCTGTCTGTTTGTGTTGTAGTTTCAACAACAACCTGTCAGGGATGGAGGGATTTGAAGGTCAGTCACWGATGTGACCTTCAGTCTAAAACTCCTCAGGTCCAAACGTTTCTCACATGTTGGTTTGTCCTGCAGACTCTGCTGTGGTCTGTCCCTGGGAGGAGTTGGAAGATGTGGAGCTGAGTGARCTGGCTCAGTTTGGAACCATCTGAACTCCAGAGTCGCTCCAAGCAGAGGCTCAGCTGCAGGAAACACTTCATCAGMACTTTGAAGAAATGTGTCAGAGTAGATGTTTGTCCTGCATCGAGCAGCAGGGAGGCTGAACTGGGAGCTGGARAACAAGGCCAGCACCTCCTGCCTCCTGGATCTGATGGAGGATCAGATTATTACCTCCTCACCAGGACCTGTCACTCACATAGATCCTCCCTCTGCTCTACTACACACTATAACTCCGCCCACTTACACACCTTGCACCAAAAGCATAAAGCTGAGTGTACGTCATGTGTTCAGTTCCAGTCCATGTGTGTAACTGAAACATTAAAGTTCGGACCCCTCAGGGGGACGTCAGAGTGCTGCTTGTTTGGTTTGAACCTGATGTTCTGACATCAGATGTGTTAAAGTGGGATGAGTTGTAGAGTTCTTCACCTGATACCTTTACCTGCTCACATTTGACTGAGTGTCAATAAATTATTGTTTGATGTCACCAGAGTCACTTCTTTACTGGACTTAACTTCTAATCTCTTCTCTGTTCTTCACCTCATCACCATCACTTCCTCATCTCCTCAGTTTTTCTTCACCAACATGTCATTCAGGTCTGGTTAGGGTCAGGGTTTTGATCCCAGTCTGGTATAAAGTACCACAAAAAGATACTTGAGTAAAAGTACAAGTATCTTACCAAAAATTTAAAAGAATGAATGGATGTTAAATTTAGGATGCACTAGTCCAGCTGTTTCAGTTTATATACATATATCAAGGC